GTTAGGTTAAGGGTTAGGGTTAGGGTTAGGTTAAGGGTTAGGTTTAGGTTTAGGGGTTAATTTTAGATTTAGCGTTTACAGCGTGCTTTTTTCTCCGCACTGTGATGACGTCAGCTACGCGGTTTCGTCGAGCGCCCTTTAGTGGTGGAACCCTGAGAGACGACCCCCCCTCCCCACTGCTTCCTTTCCCCTTGTGACTCCAATCCCCATCGCGCACCCCGTACCTGTGGAAATCAGGCTGTGGTTGGAAATCCCGGGGTTCTGGCTGGCGCTCCCCCCCTTGGGCAGAATGGCTGTGGGAGAGGAGACCGTGGTAGAGCCCGTGGCGGCCACTGAGTAGACCACGCTGTGACTAGCGGACTGGATAGGACTGGTCCCTGTGGGGGTGGGGTAGACAGCGGTGATGACCTGCCCTTGACCGGCACCGGAAACTGGGAGTTGAGGGCTCTGAAGTGGGGACACCCCCACTTGTCCCGAAGCCAGCACAGGATTATGACCTGAAGGGAACAGACCAAATGCAGGTTTCGGATCCTTGTCCTTGGAGGTTGGTTTCCTCCATGTTGTGTCTTCAGGCCTTTCCTCCAGTGTAGCCAAGCAGTCTGTGAGCTTGGCATTATGCTTGCTTTTCCCCCACAACTGCCTCCCCGGCCTTACCTGAGAGCAGTGGCCCAATAGCTGTGAAACCCAGTGCCATGGGGGCAGGCCCCACTGGGGACTGGACGTAGGTGGTGGTAGGAGCAGCCGGGGGGATGCTGGGTTGAGAATGAGAAGTTGAGGTGCCCAGGGAGAGAGCATGTCCAGCTGCTGATTGCACATAGGTGATCCTGGAGGCAGAGGAAGAGAGGGAGAGAGAGGGAGGGAGAAAGGGAGAGGGAGGGAGACAGAGACAGAGAGACAGATAGAGATAGAGACAGAGACAGACAGAGAGAAAGACAGAGAGAGACAGAGAGAGAGACAGAGGGAGAGACAGAGGGAGAGAAAGACAGAGAGAAAGACAGAGGGAGACAGACAGACAGGGAAGGAGGGAGGCAGAGACACAGAGAGAGACAGAGAGAGAGAGACAGAGAGAGACAGAGAGAGGCAGAGACACAGAGAGACAGGAAGGGAGGGTTATTTTATGACAGTGGCTTCAGGCACATATGTTCCCCATGCCTTGAAGATCCAGTGCTACAAACCAACACGGCATATTCCTACCTGGTTGAGGAGGAGGGCAACAGGACTTTCTGGGCCTGGCTCGGGGAACCAATGACAGCGGTGGCCATGGTGCCCTGGAGCGCAGCAGGGCTAAGTGGGGGCACCAAGGTGGCACTGCTCTGGGAAGAGGACTGAGGCTGGACAACTGGCACTGGAGTGAGCTGAATAATCTGAAAGGGCAGAAAGACTCTATTGGCATAGGGAGCCAAGAGGAACAGCAGGAGGTTTAGGCTGGAGGTGAAGCCCAGGTGCAAAATTATTATTATTGTTGTTGTTGCTATTCAGCAAAACCAGATTCAGACTCAACGTCATTTACCAAATCTGTCCTGTTGCGGTAAATAAATTTAGCAAGCAATAGTATTCAAGTACAATTGGAAACAGACGACGGAGTCTGTTGCACGGGACACAATGTAGGATTTCAGGCTTTACTACAACAGGGAAGACAAGAGAGGAAGTTCCCGCGGGCAGGAAATGGTGATCACCAGCAAAGAGGGACGGTGGTTCTCTTTAGCAATAGCACTTAAGACTTCTATACTGCTTCACGGTGCTTTAAGCGGTTTACAGAGTCAGGGTATATGGCCCCCAACAATCTGGGTCCTCATTCTACCGACCTCAGAAGGAAGGTTGAGTCAACCTTGAGCCGGTCAGAATCGAACTGCTGGCAGTCGGCAGAATTAGCCTGCAGAAGGGCATTCTAACCACTGTGCCACCAAGACTACAGGCTCCTTTGGGTATATGAAAGCCTTCACTGTTTCAGACCTGCTGAAGAATTAGGACTTTGGAGAAGCAAAACCTCCAAAACCTGATATAGGACCAAAGGGATCTTTTTGTTATTAAATCTCATTTTCCTCTGTTTCACAGTCCAGAGACGCTGAGAGATTTGTTGCTAAAAAAGAAAGAAGCAAAACGAGGCACTCAGACTTCTAACAGCAGTCATGAAGAATACAGATTTTCCTATATGAGAAATTTCCAAATGTTTGTCGATTTGCAGGCTAATACATCTGGAGAACATCAGGCTGGGGGAGGAGACTCAACCTTGCTTTCTTTTCTTTCTTTTTTCTGGGATCCCAGTTTTGCAGAACAGATGTGCAATATTTAACATTTAATAGCTGCTAACCCGGCGTTGCCCAGGTATTTAGAGACATCGAAGTTTTGTTTGGCAGGGGGCCTTTCTTCCCCCTACTCCCATGCCCATCATTCCTGCCCTCTCCCTACCCCCTCCCATGCGCTCCTCTTTCCCGCCCTGTCTACAATCCTGGCACTTTGCCCCAAATCCATCAGGCACTTCCCCATTGGTCCACTGGAGGGCGAACGTCACGGCTGGCTTTCCAGAGGAAGCTGTGAAGGAACTGACATCACAAACAATTGCCACTCCAGGTTGCCGCACTCGCTCTCCTTAATGACCCGGACTCTCCCTTCTCCCTCC